TCATGCCTTTAATTCAGCACTTTGGGAGGCCAAGGTGGGCGGATCACTTGAGGACAGGAGTTCAAGACCAGTCTGGCCAACATGGCAAAACCCTGTCTCTACAAAAATACAAAAAAAATCAGCCAGGTGTGGTCGTGTGCCCCTGTAATACCAGCTACTAAGGACACTGAGGGACGAGAATTGCTTGAACCAGGGAGGCAGAGGTTGCAATGAGCTGAGATCGCACCACAGCACTTCAGCATGGGTGACAGAATGATACTCTCTAAAAAAAAGTACATATTTATTATATATGTGTGGTGGTTAATTTTAGGTGTCAACTGGACTGGATTAAGGAATACCTAGGGAACTGGTAAAGCATGGCTTCTGGGTGTGTCTGTGAGGGGGTATTTCAGAGACTGGCCTGAGAGTTGGTGGACTGAGTGGGGAAGATCTGTCCTCAATGTGGGTGGGTCACCTAATCAGACAGGGACCCAGATAGAACAAAAAAGGAGTTAAAAGGATTTGCGCTCTCTTTTTCCTAGAGCTGGTATATTCTCCTCCTCTTGTACATGCTCTCTTGCTTTGGGGACTCCAGAATTTACAATAGCAGCCCCCTGGGCTCTCAGGCCTTTGGCCTTAGACTAAGAATTACACCATGGGCTTACCTAGTTCTAAGACTTTAGAAATTAGACTGAGCTACCAGCATCCCGAGGTCTCTAGCCTGTTGTGGATCTTCTCATCCTTCATAATCACATGAGTCAATTCCCCTAACAAATCCCTTATCATCTATCTATCTATCTTTCTGTCTATCTCCTATTGATTCTGTCTCTCTGGAGAACTCAGTATAGTATGTAAGCTATATATACTATATTAATTGATTAAAAACAAAGGCACCCACATCTAGAGTCATTTTAGAAAGTTTTACAGTACATACAGGTAAATTTTTTTAAAAATTACATGAACATCTAAACAGAAAAATCAGATGACTTTCAAAGAACAAAAAAAAAATTTGGTATCATATTTCTCCTGAGAAATACTAGATAAGAGATGATAATGGAAACAAGTAGAGTTGTTAAAGAGGGGAAAAAGTGACTCAAGAATGTTATACTTCAGTTAATAGAGTTGCTACAAATAAAAAATTACAAAAGAATGTCATACCTAGCCAAGGGTTGTTCATAAATGAATATAACAAAAAACCAATCCATTCATCCACCTTTCTAAAAAAAAATTTTGAAGCTATTTCCCAGGCAACTTAAGAGGTTAAGAATGAAGAAAATCTAAATACTTACTATAAAATCATTTGAAACTGAATGAAAATATAATACAATAATAGTAATTCCTAGAAAAAATATAATACAAAAAAATTATAGAGAAAATGTGAGTCCTAAATCCCAAATTTTATTAAGTAAAACTGGAGAATATGGGTGCAGCACGATAATGAAGTAAGTACCCATCCAATTCCTTATTTAATATGAAGTGCAGACCGGAGATATTGGTTAACTAAATTGTAAAAGACTCATTTATGGGATACTCATAGCCATAAAAATAATGAGAAAAGGCCAGGTGCAGTAGCTCACGCCTGTAATTCTAGCACTTTGGGAGGCTGAGGAGGCTGAGGCATGCAGATTCCCTGAGCTCAGGAGTTCAAGATCAGCCTGGGAAACACAATGAAACTCCATCTCTACTAAAATACAAAAAATTAGCCTGTGTGGTGGCATGCACCTGTAGTCCCAGCTGCTCAGGAGGCTGAGGCAAAAGAATTGCTTGAACCCAGGAGGGGGAGGGTGCAGTGAGCCATCATCACGCCACTGCACTCCAGCCTGGGCAACAGAGTAAGACTCTGTCTCCAAAAAATAAATAAAAATAAATAAATGAGGAAGCTCTTTATGTTCTGATACAAAATATCTATAAAATAAATTTATTCTGGCCGGGCACGGTGGCTCATGCCTGTAATCCCAGCACTTTGGGAGGCCGAGGCGGGTGGATTACGAGGTCAAGAGATCGAGACCATCCTGGCCAACACGGTGAAACTCCATCTCTACTAAAAATACAAAAAAAATTAGCCGGGCGTGGCGGCACGCGCCTGTGGTCCCAGCTACTCAGAAGGCTGAGGTGGAAGAATCGCTTGAACCCAGGAGGCAGAGATTGTGCCATTGCACTCCAGCCTGGTGACAGAGCAAGACTCCACCCCAAAATTAACAAATAAATAAATAAATAAATTTATTCTAAAAGGAAAGTATAATAGAAAAAATGTGTCTGGCGTGCCACAATTTGTACAACAGAGAAAAAACATATTATTCAAGAGAAATTGGTAACCTTGGTTGCCTGGGGAAATGATATTGGGTGTCTGCGAAATAGAGGTAAGGAAGACTTTATTACAAATGCTTTGTCCTTTGTTATTCTATAAATGAACCATGTAAATGTTACTTATTTTTTATTTTTTATTTTATTTTATTTTTTTTTTTGAGACGGAGTTTCGCTGTTGTTGCCCAGGCTGGAGTGCAATGGCACGATCTCGGCTCACCGCAACCTCCGCCTCCTGGGTTCAAGCAATTCTCCTGTCTCAGCCTCCCGAGTAGCTGGGATTACAGGCACGCACCATCATGCCCAGCTAATTTTTGTATTTTTAGCAGAGACGAGGTTTCACCTTGTTGACCAGGATGGTCTCGATTTCTTGACCTCGTGATCCACCCGCCTTGGCCTCCCAAAGTGCTGGGATTATAGGCGTGAGCCACCGCGCCCGGCCACTACTTATTTTTTAAAACAAAATTTTTAAATGTGTTAAGAATCAAGTAAATACTCATTGGTGACTTCAGCACATATGTAAATCTAGCTTATGATAAAGACATCACAAAATTTAAAAATTCAATAAATGATCCTGAAGCAACTGGTTTTCTATTTGGAAAAAAAAGGGCAATGTTTAGTCCTCATTTCACTGCCTGATGAGAATAAATTACAGACTGATTAAAGAGTCATGAAATTAAACCATAAAAATATTAGAACAAAATCAATCTTAATCTAATAAATTTAACTTCATAAAAATAGACACATCATATAAAATTAAAAGATACACCAAAAGCTGGGGACAATGCTTTTCACAAATATAAGAAATTAGTATCTTTATTTTTCTTAAAGAGCCAATAAAATTAAAAAATAAGACAAACTTGGCAAAAACCTAAATCTTCAGTATAAGTATAAAAATGGGCAAAAGAAATAAACAGAAAATGAAACTGGTTAAGAAACACACTTACTAATAATCAAAGTAATCCAAATTAAAGAGACACTTCCTGCCTATCAGATAGGGACCCTCATAACTACAGATGAATGCATAAATCGGCACAGCCTTTCTAGAAAACACTATGAGATATACACCGACAGTCTTAAACATGTTCTGACTTTTGACTTAGTAATTCTGTCTCCCCTGGGATTTAATGCAACTTTATTTATAACAGGGAAAAAACTGAAATAATCAAAATATTTAACACAAAAATGTTAAATTCTGATATATTCATATAAAAAACATTGTGCCAAAGTTAAAATAATATTTTTAAAAATTTAATGACCTGAAAAAAGTTTAAGATACGCTATAAGTGAAAAAAGCAGAATAAATACCATCATATGCTATCACAATTTTGGGATTATAACTGTACAAAACATAATAGATTTTAAATACTGAAAGGAAATACAATACAATCTTAGCAATAATTTTCTTTATTTAAATTCATTTTTACCTTTCTGTATATTTTAAAGTTTCTATAATAAATAAGTGCGAGGAGATGCCGTATTTTAAACAAAGAAATAATATAACTATAAAAATGTTTCCTGGCCAGGCACAGTGGCTCACACCTTTGGGAGACTGAGGTGGGCAGATCGCTTGAACCTAGCCATTCAAGACCAGCCTGGGCAACATGACAAACTTTCATCTCTACCAAAAACTGCAAAAATTAGCTGGGTGTGGTAGCATGCCCTTGAAGTTCCAGCTACTTAGGAGGCTGAGGTGGGAGGATCAATTGAGCCTGGCAGGTCAGGGCTGCAGTGAGCTGTGACCAAGCCACTGCACTCCAGCCTGGGCAACAGAGTGAGACCCTGTCTCTCAAATAAACAAATTATTTCCTGGCATCAACATGCGCAGGATCTCCACTGAAAAAGTTAATTGTTGCAATAAGTAATTTGTAGATAAAACCCTGAAGATACATTAGCGCTGCCTTCCATCTTTCTTTCTTTCTTTTCTTTTTTTGAGACAAGAGTCTCACTCTGTCACCCAGGCTGGAGTGCAGTGGCGCAATCTTGGCTCACTGCAACCCCTGCCTCCTGACTTCAAGCAATTCTCCTGCCTCAGCCTCCTGAGCAGCTGGGACTGCTGTTTGCCACCATGCCCGGCTAATTTTTTTGTATTTTTTACTAGAGTCGGGGTTTCATGGTGTTAGCCAGGTTGGTCTCAATCTCCTGACCTCGTAATCTGCCCGCCTCGGCCTCCCAAAGTGCTGGGATTACAGGCGTGAGCCACTGTGCCCAGCCACCTTCCATCCTTCTTATATACCTTTGGTTCAGAACTTCACACAGGCAAATAGTGTGTAAAACAGATACTTCACTAGGACAACTTCAGTGGGCCAGCCAACAAGAGCACTATCTCTTAACATAATGAATAACCATGTACAGACACCATAACAAACCACAAACAACGCAACTGCAATGGCGTTTTCATGATACATTTGCTGGTTCAGAAAGTCTTCAGTCAAGACCACCTACTTATGGCCCACAAACCACAAGGTGAAAGCAACTGCTGAGATAATCTATAAACTGACAACTTTCGTATGAAGAGTCCCAAATCCCGTGCCCAGGCTCCTAAGTGTCCCTCCCCATCCCCTGCTTGTTTCCTCTGGCAGGATGTTTTATATTATGTTCATTTCCAACCCAGCTAATAAAGGAGCTCTTTAAAGTTTAGAAAAACACTGCTTATTGGGTTCCTGGGTCCAGCATGTGTGCAATACATAAATAAGCAAAGAACACATGTACAGTACCTTCCCAAAGCTGTGTTGGCTTGGCAAAATTCTCCCCACTCATTAAAACAACATAAGATGCAGCTGCTCGAACTGTAGCCTGCCATGTTGACATGGCAACGGGTGGCTCCTGGCATGGAAAAAGGGCCCTGTTGTTTATGGGAGATCCCACAGTATAAACACATGGCCTGCAGAAGAGAGACAAAGAAAGGGGGAGAATCTTTAAAATGAGTTGTCACTTTTCTCACCACCAAGGTAGTAAAGGTTAAGTTGAGCTTTCAAAGAAAACATTTGAAACTTTGCAGTTGACTGATTTCAGAGTATTTTGAACTGAAGCTGCCAAGGGCTGGCTATGTGAATAGCTGAGTGGTTATTTCTCTCAAACGAATTTCTTAAATATGTAAGAAGAGTTGGTTTTTTTAAGGAGAAAAATATTTTTTTGGATAAAGTTTTACATACTAGTCTGCCAAGTTATAATTTATATTACCCTTGCCCCCTCCCCTCAGGCCCTGATGCCTTCAAAAGAAAAGTTTGAGAGACATTCTTACAAACCTTTTGGAAAGCATTCTGGAAAAGAAAATATGTTTGGAGATCACGGAGATATTAATGCTTGGAAAAACAAGCTGGTGGTCTCAGTATCCAGGGCTGGCAGGCAGATACCCCCAATCTTGGAAACCACCATCTCAAATGGAACCCTTGTGGGAATCCTTGTGTGGAGGCCAAGAACAGGGGCTGGCATATAAACAGGACTGTGGGTCACAACAACGAGGCCTGTGATGGGAAAGCCAAGGGTGCAGTTGTTACCAAAGTAAGCATACAAAACCAGTGACATGGCATCAGGACTCATTCTGCCATGAGTCCTAATGGAATCAGAAAGTACAATCCCATCCAATCCAAGAAAAATCCCTCCCATGACAGAGTCATGGTTGATAAAGATGGAAAAGATCCTCAAGATCAAAGGGGTCAACTCTTGACACCACAGAGTCGAAGGTACAAGACTGACTCCTCAGAAAAAACTTAGGAAAATGTTTCCACTTTCTGTTTTTCAGTTGTGACAAATATATAGTTTTGGTCAGCTTGACTTATAAATGAATAGAGCAAAGCACTACTTCTTTTGGATAAACTGGTTTTCCTTTTTCATTAACATCATTATAATTGAGCATTTATCGTGTTCACACGACGTGCAAGAAAAATCAGAACGATGGTTCGACTCTATCAGTCAGGGTCTTGTGTGGAAAAGAGAAACCAGTCCAGGTCTTAACAAACGGGTAATTCAATCTTCGAAATGAGTTATACAAACGATAGAAGAGCTGAGAAACCAATTAGAGGACAGTAAGACAACCTAGGGACTGGCCACAGCAGTAATCAGCTGTGACTCCTGGTTGAGACTGGAAGAGCTGGTTGTTACTGGGTGTTACTGGGTTATACGGCAGGGGTCATCTGGCAGAAGCCAGAGTCACAGTGGGGACTGTCCGGGGGGAGCTGGGACCAGAGGAGACTCAGCCACACTGGAGCTGCCAAAGGAAACAGGAGGAGGAGAAACAACTTACTTCCAGCCAACTCCTGCTTTCAAATCTTCCACCAGTGGCCCCCACTGGCCAAACCTAGCAGGAAGCCAGAAGACTAGAGAGCCTAGGAAATGAAGTTCCTCGTCATTTAGAGAAGGTCACAAAAAGAGCACAAAATGGGTCTCAGAGCAAACAGGCAGCTGCTGTACGCTCATCCCACAAGTATGCATGCCATGATAACGTGAAGGTTTGACGTGGGGCAGGGAAGATTAGAAAGTCTAAACACCTTTGTACCAGCTGGGCTGCCAACTTATCAAATGACTGTGGGGAAGTTCCTCAACTTCTGAGTCACAGGTGAAATCGGTATTGGGCCGGTGAAGCGGGAAGCAAGAAGTGACTTCTATTGTCTGTTCTGTTCAATAAGCACCTTATTTACCTAGTATAAGTCTGTGTTGTGGGTCTTCCCTTGCCTGCACGGGGAACAAATCCTCCCCAAACAACTGGCTTGCCAAGATGTTGCTCTCCTCCCTATAAGGTTGTGTTGGAGGCCATGCTGGCATATTATTACACATGCCACTTGTGCCCTTAGGTATGTGGTCCCCAGGGCTGCCTCCATCAACTTCCACACCTCTTCCCCAAAGCAACAATCGGATCTGAGAGGAGGTCAAATCTGAGAAACACGGGAGATGAAAAACCAGGACTTGGAAAGTGATTTGCTGAAGAAGAGGGAGAAGGAAAGGAAGGCTCTTCTGAGGAGGCAGCTGCCAAGCTGGCCCCCAATAGCCCCTTCTTCCCAATATTTACATCCTTGTGTAGTCCCCTCCATACTGTACCAGGTCTGTGTGACCAAAGAGACCTGGGTAGAGCCAACAGGCAGCTGCAGTACTCTCATCCTATAGTATGTATGCAGTGATAATGCAAAGGTTTGACCTGGGACAGGGAGAGATCAGAAAGTCTAAGCATTGTCTGATAAGAAGGACCAACAGCATACAGCAAAGGTGATGGCATGTCACTTCTGAGGCAATTTTAAAATCTGTGGTTTTCATCTCAGACTATCTTTTCTCGCTCTGTCCCCCATCATTCACTCTAGGTCATGAGTGTCAGGGAGTCACTTAGGCAGCCTAGGGAGGCACCCACATGGTAAGAAACGGACACGTTTGTCCAACACTCAGTGAAGAACCAAGGCCTGCAACAGCCATGCAAGTGAGTTTGAAAGAGGATTTCCCAGCTCCTGGCACGCCGTGAGACACCTGCAGCCCCGGCCAACAGGTGGACTCTAACTTGCAAGATATCCTGAGCAAGAGATGCTGGCTAAGCTGCTCCTGGATTCCTGAGCCTCAGAAACTATGAGAGATAATAGGCATTTTTTCTTTTAAGCTGCTAAATGTGGGGGTGATTTGTCATGCAGCCATAGTTAACACAGAATTTTCTGAGGTTTCTGGCTCAAGTGGTAAGATGGATGGTAAAGCTATTGAACAAGAAAGGAGGACGAGGGTGGGTCCAAGGAGATAGGTGGAGGGTATGCACCTGTTTAATTTGCTTATAAAGGATTTCACATAAGCATATGACAGAAGACACTTTCATGGACACTGTATGTTTTCCTAATCCCAAACGGTGTGGTGTCCATGAATGGGTTTAGATGTCTGAAATCAGACCTACCTGAAAAAATTTGAAAATGATGATTTGATGAAGCAGGAAGTGTAGACATCGCAGGCATATATGAGTCAGTTGATGAGGGGGCAGTCCTTCCACTGACTAGATGAAAATCTACCATGTTATCACCATCCTTTCCTCCCCGGTTCGGTAGTTTGTCCTCTTTAGCTACCTAGTTCTCGACACTTTGTTCTAGAATTTTGTCCTGATCCCTTCTGTCATGCTCTTGAAAGCTCCTTCTGCCATTGTGCATCTGGGCACCTGATCCCTCCCATCAAGGGGGTTAGTTACCTCGCCAGGCCCCAGCAAGCTCTCGCCGCCACCCTCCCCAATGTCCCCACAATTCTCTATCCCACCCTCCTCTTTCCATGGCTGTGTTATCTTTTCTGCTGAAGTCTAACCTTTTTTTCTGGCTTCCACTCGGTACCCAGAGCTGTAACTCTGAACATGTAGATCAAGTCAGCAATCTAAAAGACACACCCAGGCCGGGCGCGGTGGCTCAAGCCTGTAATCCCAGCACTTTGGGAGGCCGAGGCGGGTGGATCACGAGGTCAAGAGATCAAGACCAACCTGGTCAACATAGTGAAACCCCGTCTCTACTAAAAATACAAAAAATTAGCTGGGCATGGTGGTGCATGCCTGTAATCCCAGCTACTCAGGAGGCTGAGGCAGGAGAATTGCCTGAACCCAGGAGGCAGAGGTTGCGGTGAGCCGAGATCGCGCCATTGCACTCCAGCCTGGGTAACATGAGTGAGACTCCGTCTCAAAAAAAAGAAAAAAAAAAAAGACACACCCCAAAAATATACCCATGTCTGATACGAGAATCAACCACTTTCTTATTGGAACGCTTTCATAAGCAGGAAAAAATGACATAAGAGGGAAGTCTTAGGGTAGTCACATCCTGAAAATGTAACTTCTCTTTGTGCTCCCAGACTACTCTTTTCTTGGCCTTTTTCTCTTTCTCAGCTGCAGGCTCACTCCTCCCTTCCCAACATGCCCAAACCAAGCACTAGGGACCTACGAGTCTTTACAGTCAATGGCCTTTTCCTCTCTTACAAGCTGATATCCTATTCACAATGTCTGACATCACAGTGCAAACCTGAAATCAATTTACAGTTAGGTAACTATATTGTAACAGTGTGAAGGTTTTATCCTCTGAATAAAGCTCTACTGGTGGAATTTTGGTCATCTACCAGCAAGTGGAGGATGGGTGAACATGGGGCCTTCCCAGTGTTGAAATCATACCCACTACATAGTGATTTCAGGCTAAAGATGGCCCCCATTATGCACACATTCAAATGAGAACTATATGGAGGGCCGATTCCTGCTTACCCATCCGTGCCTCCCCTCCATAGAGGGCAGGATAAGCTATGTGATTATAAACAGGCTCTGCAGTTATCTGAATGTGTAAACACAGAAATAAATGCAGCTGTGTTTATTCGACACGAATAGCCTTGCACCTTGGCCATGTTGCTAAAACACTCATGGGATAGATGTGCAGGCACCGACCTGAAATTCTCCAATGCTTATAACTTCATCATTTTCAGATCGAGTAATTCCTTCCAGCACAGCAAGGAAAACTCTCTTACCAGGGTTCATCTCACATGCCTTGGGATGCCCAACTGTATGAGATATTCCTCGGGGAGCCCAGATTGCACAGGCGTTGTGGAATGAGAGAACAATGAAAATCAGAAAGAAGAGAATAGGTAAGACAGGGTGAGACACAGGTCCAAGGCTTGCTGCCATTAAAGAACTTCTAAATTGAGGAAAACTTGTCAGAATAACAATTACTTCAGCTTCTGGCTACATGTTTCTGCATTTACAGAGTGGTCAAATGAGGATAAAACACATTAACTCTGCCTTTCAAAGTAAGAGGTCAGCTAAGACTCACGTGCTAGTCTTAAGGAGGAGCCAGCCATGCAAACTTGTAAGGGATTGCTTAAAACCATAGATTTTCTTTTTTTTCTGTTGACTACTATATGCATTTGTCTTTTCTCAGCCAGGAGAAAAAGGGGGTTGTTTTTCAT